TAAAAGTTTGACTGTCGCATGTGCGAACGGTGCGAACGTCTAGATCCGCCCCTGCATGGCTTAATAACAGCTAAAAGTTACAATAACATCAGCTATAGGAAAAATTAACAGAATGCTTATATCACTAGTTTGATAATAGGCTATACTGAAACGTTGTTCATACAATTTACATTTTCTTCGTATAACCTTATCATAAATTCAAATTATTGTTCTTCTCATGGTCCAGTTACGAAAAGTTCGAATTCAGGTTTATTGCCAGGATGTTGTTTTTGTAGGAGGATTTTTAAGAGACTTTGAGTTCAAATTACACGAGTTCCAATGACACAGAGTTGACTGAAACAAAATAGCTGCTAAAACCATGAATTTTTCATACCTTTCAGCAAGAAGTCTTTGTAAAAAAACTGCCAAGAAACATGAGTGACTGTGGCTTGTAATCTTACTCCCGATGGTATTCATTGATACCTTTGTCTTACCAAAGCAAAAGAGCCGGTTTCAGAGCCTGCTCAAATGTGGATAAATTCCTACTAACATTTCAACATTAATATTCCTACTAATAATCTACCTGAGAGAAATTCTAAAATACACCAGGTAGAATGCCAGTGAAAGTACGAAAAAATCTTGTGTATCTTGTGTATATGTGTATCTTCATTAACGTGCAATTTTATCAGGCTGCAAAATTTTTGCAAGCGTAGAGGCTTCCCTGAGTTTGTTAAAACATCCCTTTCTTTCTAGATTCAACAACGGCAAAAGTACTTCTATAAAAACTGTGTCAAAGATGACTTACCAAGAATACCACCTGACGGTGTTTGCTTCTCTCTCCACAGCAGCCAAGCAAGAGCCTGTCTCTGATGAGGCAGCAACGTCACTAGCAAACCATTTGGATCATCATGCTCAGTTGTTGCGGATGGACATGTTTCTAAAGAGCTTCAAACGAATAAAAATATCCATATGGTGAAAAAGACAAAGCAAATTAATCAATAAAAATTCAGAGCCAGAAGGAGCAAGTATATATCATCGATCCTTCTCGGTGTCAAGTCAAAAAGTTATTTGCTTAATTGGACAATAAAATATTGTTAGAATACACGATTTACAAAAGGCTATGATTGATATTCTGTATCACTTTGTATACTGAAGTATAAATAATTTTAGGATTTTACTAAACTTTTAAACCAAAAGCTAGATTCTTCGTGATATATAGAATGATATGAATTTGGGTTAATTTATTGATTTGTTCCGATTTTAGTACTACTGTCTTTTGTCTGACTGCAAAGAAAAAGTACCGCTAACAGGAAATAGCGTTAAAAATGTGCACACTTAAGGATATTATTCAAGAAGGATCCATTCGACTGATGACGTCACATGTTACAAAATTCAGGCTTTCAATGACTACATAACGACTCAGGTTTAATTCATGCACCGTTTGAAACTCGTTAGATGCGCTTGTTGTCCGTTAACGAGACATACATCGAGCATCAAAGGACGGATTTGTAGTGCGAGGGTGTGAGTAATGAGAGACTGGAACGAGAGTTGTTGCTGTTGTGATTAGTGAGTGAGAGAGAAGAGACAGAAATTGAAGCGGAGATATGGTTGGATAGGTAGCAGAAGGCGTTATAAAGTTCAGTAGGAGAATGTCCAAGAAGAAGAGATTCTGAATTATCGTTTATACTTGTTTTCGTTCTTGCATGCTTCATTACAGTAGCCTCGCATTTTCACAGGCTGATGCAAATATACAGCAACACTAAACATGTTTCGGGATGTGAAAGGATTTCCATTTGTTCGAGCATTTTAGACCTGAGAGTTTCGATTATTGAAGCGTAGACTACGATAAAGCCACCTTGATTAAGTTCAGGACGAATTGCACTGCACGCGTTTTCAAAATAATACCTTAATGTTTCAGCCTCTGATTCCTAAAATAAATTTCCCTTTTAAGAACTAAAGATATTCCTAGGTTATTCTCAAACAACTTTATCAGTAAATTCTCTTACGTTGTGGAAAAGCGAAAGAAATTGAGAGGAACCAAATGTAAAATGTTCAAGTATCAATATAAACAAATTTTAACATTGTACAAAGAGAAACAGATAAATAAAGTTTGGGCCTGGTAATTATACATAATTAAATAAATTTTAGCAGATTTGAGCAAAACTTAGATTCTACCATTTATCATTCTGATTTTCCTGCTGTATTTTAATAGATTTCAATGATCCTATTTTGTGGTTTGCCAAATAAGGTTCTTGTTACTTAGGGCTAGTATTAACTTATCATATGACTGAAAATGAGATGAGTATACTTTAGCTTGAACAACAGTAATTAGATATTGTGGCAAGTGTATTCTTTCGATAATTTGATTGGAGTATGTCAACAATATGGCCATCGTTTGTCAATAAGTTATAAAATATCATCTGGTGTAGTTTCTCAGCAAACATCACTGCTTCGGTTAATTCTCCTCACGTTATTCAGTGGTTAAACTTGAAACTGTAAACTTAAGCTACGTTTACATGACACATCAACATGTACTGATTTCGGTTGCCAGTGTTAGCCTTTATATCGCGAGGACCGCCATATCTCTGCCAAACCAAAAAAAAATTAGTCAATACTTCAATTTTGTAAAATATGGCTGTTTTTACACTTATTTATCAGGGCTGGCCCTGTCAATCAGAAAGTTGTATCTCGGTCACAGAATGTGTCTCGGTCTTTGTTATAGCGTTTAAATGCTGAAATTTAAACGCAAGCTGTGTTCCACTCCCAATCCCAAACTGGCTGAGAATGCGAAAGCGGCTGAGATTATCATGTAAACGAAAAAAGTCGTTAGAGAAAGTTTCTTTGTCTTTACGGATTCCCCACTTTGTTACCTTATCTGTTATAGGTTTGTAGAAATAGGGTACCTGACCTGGAAATGGGTTTGTATGGATAAAGTGGATGGAAATGGACAGGGGCGTTGAAAGCTTGGGACAAGGGGGGGTTGCCTTATCTGTTTCAGGGCCCCATTTGAGGCCCCAATTAATTAATTTAAACTTTGTATTTTGAACATGTGCATGTTTCCTTGTATGGAACGTCACAATATCATTGTTCATAGAGAATGTGGCGAGATTATTGGTGTGAAAAATGTTTGTTTTTGTTATGATAACAGTTACATCAACGAAATTTTGAAAAATCAAACTTACGAATACACCTGATGGGTCTATTGCATGAGTTGTAATGGCAGGTATGTGACACTATGTATATCACTGAAAAGCCATTTGATTTTGACATGAAGTTGAATTGTTATATTTCCAATACGAGGAAATAGTTAGTCATTGTTGTCGTACTAGCCTCATACCAAAGAAGAAATAGATAAGAAAACATTGGCAAGCCGTGAATTGAATTGCTAGCACTGCCCCAGGGGCCTCTTTAAATATCTGGTAATCTAAAACCGTTATTTTGAAAGGTTAAGGTTTTACCAAGCAGTAGAACACTTTGTAGTTACTGTTGAACAGGGACCTCGTAGAAATGAAGAAGAAAGAATATAAAATTTCCACAATTGGAAATGTAACACTAAAATACCGCAACACAAACACATAAAATGCGGTAAGCTGTTCCCGCTTAGGTCCTTGCTCAGTGTGACCACAAGTTCACCGATGTGTTTGCCTAGCCTTGGGGAGACGAGTAAGAGAAAGTTGTTTAATGAGTGAGGCAACCCTTCATCCTGGATTCAAAGAGCATGAGCTCATTTTTTACAACACACTTTCAATATACACACTAGCATTCCACAAGATGAGGGTATCGAAGCTTCCCTCAATGCCATCAAAAATCATTATTGGGAAACTACCCTGCTGCGTATAAAATACAACAGGTGATTTTTATTCTCAAACATAATTAGATTACCTTTACACTCTCTTTTTATAAGAACACGAGCTTCAAAATTAGGTGCCAAAGTGGCTTAAATTGTATTCTGAGGGTGCTGCAATGCCAACTACATTTACAAAATTCTATCCAAAATATAAGAATATTAGATCAAGGAATGTTACGTCACACAGTAGAAAAAGTAGACTTATGCAAAGTAGGAAAGGAATCCGCCTGAGCAGTTGATCTGCTGATCAATTTGTAATCCAACTGCAATCAATTTGTAATCCAACTGCAATCGTTTTTTAGAATCCACAGTTTACCAACTAATGATGTTATGATTAACGTGACTAACTGCCTCAGCAAAGGCGCAAAATAAAACGATAAAATCATATATTTCAATCACAAACTGGGCTGGGCACCAAAGTGAACCTCTTACAACCTGTCCTTACTAAAGATCAAAATTTAAATAAGCTTAATCTTTCATTTCTCTATTCCTAATCCTTCTTTGCTTTCCCTTATTAGGGCTTAGCCACGGGTACTTGAGCTTTTGCGTCCATATTACCAGCTAAAAATAGACACAAGAAGGAACTCGAATTGAGAGCTAAACAAGGGGAAAAACCTAATTAGAACTTCTTTCAAAACTTTCTTGTTTCTTAGTGTCTACCTTTCCTTGATTGCTTTAGATCCTCAACTCTACTGCAATATTCTTTTTTGGTCGCGTTTTCGAAAAGCACTGTAACTATACAAATAGGCCTACAAGTAAGGCATGTCGAACATAAGCAACAACTTGGTCACATAGCAATGTCCTAATTTCCAATAGAAATAATCATCATTATCTGAATTTTCGGCATGTTCATCACTGTTCTTTGATAATACTTGAATACAAGTGAACTAAATATATAAATATAAATGGCAATCCAGAAGGACTTGTTACATGTTGCAGAAGAGGAGAAGAGAGATAAGATGAGAGGAAAGGAAACCGACATTCAAACTCTGAACAGCAAAACCATGTTTGTGCATTACATGAGAATGCCGCAGTACATAATGAAACATTCTAGACATCAGGATTATAACTTTCTAGGTCGATAGTCCTAACTTGATGATTGGGTGTAACAAATACGTTTTGAAAATTTGGAAATCATAGCCCTTTCAATAACTATCTGAATTTTTCAGATTAAGCTGATTTGGAAGAAATAGAGAAAGTATAAAATCTTGAGAATATTCGAGAGTATTTGAGATAACATACAATCTTTCTGAAAGTGAGGAAGATGAAAACGAACAACAGAAATTACAACAAAAAAACTAACATCGCTACTGCCAATGCCCGGATCAAATAAACAAAAAACTGCATACCTGTGCAGTGTTTCTATTGCATCTTTTGTGATCTTTCCAACCTCCTTGAGTTTACTTTGTGTCATTTTGCCATCATAAAGCCTTTGAGTTTGAAAATGGTCGCCAACAGAACCTGGACCTTTGCTGGACACGAAAAAGAGTTCCGAATCTAGCTGGGCATTCACTGGACAACCGTCTTTGCCAGCGTGCAAAATATCCACTACAGCGTCATTTTTGTCAGTATCACAAGAATGATCACTAGGTACTGCAATTGAATTCGGTAGGTTTGCTGTAAATTCATATGCACTTTCTATTCTGTAAAATAATCTTGATAATGTCTGTATTACTTTTCAACGGCTATAACTATCACGATTGGAAGAGAAGAACATATAAGGTCGTTTTCTATAGTATGAGGGATAAAATATTTTCACACACAAATTGAATCAAAAAGATTACATGATATCACAAAGTGCACTCGGGTAACAGACAGCCTCTCTGAATAATGTAGGTTATGAATGTAAGAACGACTTTTGTGTAAACAGATCATAACTGGATACTTTCGCAAGCTTTGACAAAGATTCGAAATGGCTAAGAGTAAAGACATTTAATAAAATAGAGCTATATTACTTTGTGATTATGGGGAGCCAAGCGTAACAAAAGATGGCGGGACCCTGGGGTGTATTCTAGGTTGCCCTATTGCTCCCTTCCCAAGACTTCATCTAAACCAGTATAATTAAGCAGTATAATACTGTTGTTTGTGGTCTTTTACGTAATTAATAGATCACAAAAGAGTGGCATAAGAGCTAGAATGCTCTGAAAAGTCGGTTTCAAAAGATGTGGTCATTCTTTTAGCCGTCTAAACGAAAAAATAAATATGCAGCTTTAAATTCCCGTCTGGAAAACGAGTCTTTAAGAGACCTAATAATGAGCCTCTTTTCTAACTTAGTCCTTCTCATAAAATGCGATTATTGATTTTCAAGCCCGTCTTATGTAATAGCTTCATTCTTTCAACTTATAATTAGGATTATTTGAAGTTATTTTCAGGGTTATTTAAAACCCGCAGTGCATTAAATTGAAATTATTTTGAGTTGCTGTTTATACAGGTGGAAAATGACAATAAATATTTAGGATATTTAGGTTATCCTTTAGAAATTCAAAAAGAACATTGATAATTAACTACTGTCGATATATGATGAAATGACAGTCATAAAACACTGAGGGAATTAAAAACATGGAGAGTAAATTTCAAAACATTACATTCATCACACATTTGTTTTGCTTCCTTCAGCTTTCTCTCAAGATCTCTAATTTGATCAAAAATCCGCTGACCGCCGTCTGGCAGGGCCCGCATATTTACCGTCTGCATCAGTTTCTAGAGTTAAAATAGAATTAACTTATCATAGATTTTACGCACGACAGAGATATTTCCGAAACAAGAAAAAGGATAGGTTGACGCAATGTACTTTTTTCAGTGTGTCTAACATTCTCTTCATTTACTGAACATGATCTCCTTTTGTAATACAACGAGAAAGGGAAGCAGCTATTTAACTCAGGACATCCGATGACGGGAGGGGCGCATTAGGGCAACGCCCTACCAAAAACTGTCTTGCTAAACAGTAGAGGTGTTTTGCAAAATCTTTTGTTATAGGTCTTTCATTTGCTCTTAGCCCCCCAACCCCCCCCCCCACGTCGGAGCCCCTGTAACTTCTAAAACCATTTAGTCTCGGGAAACTGTGGAATAAAGTCAACAGTTCGGGAAATAAGTGCAAAAAGGAAGATGTAATAAATCGAGGAAATCATATATTTCAATCTCAAACTGGGAACTAAACAAGTGCAAGGAGATTTATCACATTACGCATTGCAAAGGCCCTTTGAAAAAGTTCGTTGCAAAGGTCCATGCAAACATCAAGCTGCAGCGGTTGGGCATTTTCCTTTATTCCCTACTTCCAGCCCCAAATTCTAGCAATATCCATCGATTACCTTTTTCATTTGGATTTGCATTTGCAGAGAGGATTGCTTGCTTAGAAGACGACTTCTTTCATCAGCGAACTTACAGCAGTCGGGTACGCGACAAATCTTGTCACAATTTGTGGTAGCCTGAATAGGAAGCTTTTGCTGATGATTTATCTGCTCAGCAGTGTCATTAGCCCCAGACATGTCCCCACTTTCATCCTGATCTTCATAAGAATCGTCAAGAATTATGACATCGGATGAAGCCTTTCGTTGGTTTTCTGTTTTAGAGCTTACAGCTGGCACGTTTGAACTTGCAGCATTAATATCGTTGGGCTGTCTGTTGCAAAATCCTGTCCATTGTCCCGAAACAAGAGTCTGTCTTTCTGAAACCTTCCCTATATTACCTAGGACTGATGTGACTTGGTTATGTTCTTTCCCTTGCTTGACATCAACGCAAGAGCGAGAAATTTCTGCCTGATTAAGGTCCTTCATTGTATCTTCCCTAGTTCCTGACGAAATACTTCCAAGGTGATTCTGATCATTCGATTCTGAGGCATCTTTGAACGTAAATGGTTCGTCATTCTCTTTGCCAGATATAGCTACCATCGGTTTGTTTGTATGTTTGCTTATTGAAACGGTAGGCTGTACTGAAAGAACTTTACTGTTTTCTAGAGGATTCCGTTCAGATAATTTTGCGACACCACTGTGAGTTTTTTTGCGATCAGCAACCTACAAACGATAAATCAAGTAGACAATATCAGATCAATAGAAACATAGCTGTCATCTAAATCGCGGAGGAAAGTGATATGAAGGTGAAGAAAAAATTGTTTTCATAAACATAAAAAAAGTCAAACAGGTAGCTCAGCATTGCAAAATCCTATTGTGAAAAAAAAGCTACCCAAAATCACCAGATAATTGAAACACAAGCTTTAGCAAAGGTTTGAATTGTTTGATTTGAATAGTAAATTGTTACGCCTTGACATGGACATGCAATGTATTAAGGCTTCAAGGGTGCCGTCCGAAATTTCCTGCCAAAAATCCTAATATCGCACATGGTTATACATTAAAATCAAGATATGGATTTTTAACAAGGGGTTTGAGCAGTGAGCCATAGAGGGAGGTCACAGGAGCCAGGGGGCAAGGTCCTCGTGTGAAAGTGACCACTGTTTAAATAACAAGTAAAATCGTACAGCTTTCTAACTGTAATTCTTTTGTCAATCGATTACCCTGCTGTCCAGGATAAAATTAATCTATTACCAAGATGCCACATCTTATCGAAATAAAATTTCAGTAACAAACGAATTAGTAGAAGCTATGAATCATTTTCTAAAGCCCTTGCTCTAAAGCCTACCTCCCCTTATACGCGTTCTAGCATTCCTGAGCATGAGACTGATGAAGTAATAAACAAAAAAGGCTCTAAGTAAGCCTAGAACTTACGGGTGATATTTTTGTAAAACCACACCAGCCTAATTGCATTTTTCTTCCTTCTGTGCATCGAAAATAGCATCTAAAGAAAGGGAAAGCTCGTGGTAATTTCTCCCTTTTATGATAAAGATACAAGGCAAAGAGGCACAAAGAATTATATCCCTGTACTTTAGAAAAAGGAGTGCATTTATATCTTCACTTTGCCCCTGCTGAGCAAAGCTTTTAGATCATGTGTCAAAATGTATACTTTTGTTAGTATATGGGAAAAAAAACAAAATGAAAAACTGCAGACTGATACTTGTTTTGTATACATTTATTGTAAAAGTTAAATACCATCAAGGTAAGCTTCCAGATATTTCCCTTTTCTTCACAAAGAAATTCCTCAATGATAATAAAAATATACTATAAAGATCATCTAACATAATACAATTACAGCTCTGTAAACTTTTGTAAATCCATGACCTATTAAGTATTATAAAGGCTTTGAATGTAGCAGATAATAAATCTTCCAATTTCATTCAAAGACATGAATCACAAGAACATAAGTAAATTACTGGGGAGAATTCTGTAATTCTGTGATCTGCAGTCTGAGCTTTTGGAACTGCTAATCTGGCATATCACCCTGCAGCTCCATTACAACATTAGAATGTTATTTGCATGGCAAAGAATTCAAAGTAAAAGGCAGATTTACCTCATTCCATCCTGTTTCTTACAAAGTGCTTGCAAGTCACTTATCTTATTGTGATGGGGACAATTGGTGACTGGAATACCACTGTTGGAAAGTTCATAAATAATTGAGGAAAAATAGAAATTAAAGTCTGTACCAATATGATAAACATTATGAAAACAGCTTAAAAAGGATAACATACATAATTAATGATTTCCAATTTTGAATTAAGTCAGAACAATTGAGAAGAGCCAGCCTTCAATGACATAGAGGTTTATTTTCTTAATAGTTACCTGATAAAAAACATCTCTGTATGATTAAAATGGAGACTCATTATTTATATAGCACTTGATAAGAATGTTAGAAAAAGAATGTTAATTCTTTTCAAGACAAATCATTATGAACCATCATCTTTCCGCAGATCGAAAACCACAAGTTATCACAATCTTCTAAGGGAAACAAGTCACAACATACACAATAGCTTTAGATTTACATTTTTCTGCTGTAAGCAAATATCTGGTGATAAGTGCATATATTATAACAGAAGACTTTTTGACAGGTTGATGTACATGTAATCCCAGTTTCTTATTTTAACCTGTCCAGTGCTGTAGCTCCAACACAGGGACAAGGACCATTTTTAAAAACATACTAAATGCTCTATCAGATCTTATGTGGGCTCTAGAGGAAGAAGCAGGTGTGGCACTAGATTGGCTGAAACAGGCCTTTTCATTTGACACAAGCAATCACTCGTAATCACGTCAGCACTGGCAGTAACCCAACCATGTGAAAACTCATCTAGCAAAATCCATGCATGAGTTCAAAAAGATTAAATAGCCTGCACTTAGATCTCTTTATAATGACCATGTCAGATTTTCTCAAGTCAGAATAATGTGTCACATATGTGGCTGTCTTAGATTATTTTCTTTGGAAATGTTTAAACTTTAAATGACCTGAATCCAGGTATTTGTCAAATTAGAACATTTAACTATTCATAGTGAAATCCAGTATCCTTACCCATCGTGGGCTAAAACAGGTTGCCTTCTGCACAAGGAGGCTTAAGTTTTTAGGACCATACATTTGGAACTGCTTAGTAGAGGAACTAAAATAAGTGGAAAACCTGAATACTTTCATAAGCTAGATTACTCAATGGGATGGTGTCATGTGCAATCTGCAAGGCCTGTCATATTATTGTAGATATTGTATAAATAACATGAGAAAAATAGTTGTTTTTTATTTCATTTTAATTGATTACAGATCAATCAATGTTGATAAGTTGTCTTAGTACATTTTAAATTGTATATTGAAGACTAGTAAATTTCAATAAATCAATACAATAAATGTACTAAATACCTTGCTGGCTCTACAAAAGTGCATTGGCCACTTTGGTTGCTGCAAATGAAGAATGTTTTACCCTTCATTGGGCCATCTTTAGTGCCAGTTTTGATAAAGCATGGTTTACCTAAATTAAAAAGCTATTTGTAAAAGGTTTTATTTCATATAATGAGAATTCAGTATGCAAGCTTATCATCTGCAAAAGTATAGTTGCATACATATATAAGAATCTACATTCATAAATAGATACATTTTAAGATATTCAAATGTGACTAATAATTACTCAAAAATAATATTCAAAAAAAATTATTTGCTTAGTATTTGCTCCTGTCCCTATTTGCAGGGAGAGAGACAGCACTCCCTAAGTTTCATGCAAGTATTTGTATACCAGTAACAGAGTCCTAAATCTATGTTATCAGCATTTTTAGGCATAACTAAACCCTTCCTCCAAAATTTTGACAGGCTTGAGATACTTGCAACATGAACCATTATTAAGCCAGGATTAAAAAGCGCAACACAAAACATTAGCAAGCCATTGCCAAGAAATAAAAAACAAAACTCTGTTTTGCAAACATCTCTGCAAATGGTTATTAGAGTAATTTCAGAAAAGTATTTTATTTCAAATTCTGAAAAATAAGCCATACAGATCTTTATAGGCCTAAAAATCTTTTTTCATTCGGACACTAAACATTCCCCTTCTCTTTTAGCCTGAATTGTTTTTACTTTTATTTTGTTAATTAACTTCATAAATTTTCAACTTCTCTCTATTGCTAACTGGTATTAAGAAATTCTCGTTATTGTTTCTTGATTAATAATATTTATATATAAATATCAAAATTGTTGTTGCTGAATTACATTAATTTGAATTTGAAAAGAACTCGAATTTCAAAACATTAGCCTAATGATTTGGCCGTAACATATGAAATAATGATTCTCCCCGTCCTCGGATACGATTCATTGTGTTTTAAAATTCATACACATGTATTCACGAAATCAAATTACATCAGCTTTATCATAAAAGTATAAACCTTTACATCTCACCATGTTCATTGCAGCAAGGAATCTTTCCTAAAATACCCGCCATGATTTGAATTCATGGATGGCCGAAAAGACAATACTCTAACATTGTTGCATGAAGACGAGGCGTGAAAATAAGGGCAGGATTGAATACTTGCAACTGTTCCCCTACAGTTTGGAACTTCCCCCAGAGAACTTGATTCTTGCGATCACTAGATTGAAATATTTGGTAAAAATTTTAGCAGATACTGTCTTACATGCATTAAATGGAGATTGGCTAGTGTTAAGCAGCCATATCTAAATGCCTATAGGTTACTGTTTCTTTCCTTCCCTAGTAATCAGTTTTAGCAGTATTCTATAGTATTTTGTTAATTTTTTAGTGTGGGAGATGCTTTTTAGCCCTTTTACAAGGTATAATTTCAAAAATATTCTTCACATCGGACCCAATTATGGTGGGTCCTCCTACCGCAATAAACCTGATTCTTAGCCCCTCCTCGGGTTAAATTTCGTCACGCCTTCTACATCATGTTACAAATCTGCCAAAAGTATTTGGAACACCCACCAATTTACACTGCATTTGATATCTTTCATTCCTTTCATGAAAAAAAATTGCTACTTCCGCCCCCTTCCCCCTCAAACAATGTTGATGATTTAGAGAAATATCATAAAAGAAGCTCAAAAGAAAGTGCTTCCTAAAATCCTAACGCGTTTGATAGTAAACCAACATTGTTCCGTGGGGGAGAGGGGATGATTGGTTTTGACCTTGGAAATTGATGTCAGTGTTCCAAGACTTTTGGCAGGCATTGTATCCCCAATTATATGCCATGAGATACAAGCTTTATTACAAAGGAAAAACAAATTTGACATTTAATTTACGCTCACGTAGAGAAATAAATATTTCATAGGCAATGAAGTTTCAAGTCTTTTTCTACTGCTTAGAAGTTTGTCCTTGGTATAGACAAATGTACACTGGTAAAGCTTTCACTAGTAACCTATAGACAAACCTTTGCTACGATGTCTACAGGGCACCACTCAATTATGCACTTGCTACGATGTCTGCAGGGCACCACTCAATTATGCCCCCCCCCTCCTAACCCATTGGCCAAGTTATGCCCCTGCGTTCCCCTTCACCCCTCTAGCCCAAATTGTGTCAACATTTTGCTAACTGTTTTGCTTATGGACATTGGTTCAACCTTTTACTACTATTTCTATTCTAATCTACAGGTTCATCTATCTACACAATAATTTGAGCTGGTTTCAACCTTTCATTTAGCGAAAGGGTAGGGAGGGTGTGGGCCTGTTCCTACGGCACTGAATATAAAGTAATGTTCTGAAATAAATTAGGCTCTTTAAATAAGGTGCTGGCAAGAAAAGGCCCCAAGAGGGCTACTCCTATATAAAAGGGAATAAGATTTTCACTTTTTGCTGCAACTTGTAGAACAGGAAATTTTTTCGAGATCGAATAAGATATTTTAGGATGTGTGAAGCCCTTAAGGTTACGGTAAAAGTTTCTGAAGCAATATCTGGATTTCTCTCTAAAAGCCAAACTATTAACAGAATTGGATTTAACTATATATCATTCGATGCACAAGAATTGGGTTATTCTAGCCATATCAAAATTATTGGGGAATATTGTAAAATGATGCTTTCCAGGCAAGTTTATGGCTTAAAAGAGTGTACCACCTTCAAAAGCTATTTTGCACCCTTGCGTTCGAGGTAACAAAATCTGACTCATATCGACAGAAAGAGGAGATCCTAAGCTACCAAAGCGCGTCTCCGATTTTTAAAATTTCTCCTCCCCTTGAAGCTAGACCCTATCACAGCCCTACATGGGATCCACGGATGTGCCATTTAATATTCTAACGAGACATGCGACCACAACCAAATCAACGATAGTCGGCTTAAAGGTCAAGAGATTTCTAGACCTCAACTAAAAATTTTGATAAAGAAATTATGGAAACTTTCGTTTACATGGGATTTTTTTCATTTTCAACATTTCTGTTAGTTTCAAACATGGTATCATTTTGTGCCTTGAAAGTTCGGCAACTAGAGTGTGAAAAAATTGAAAAATGGATGTTTTAATCCAGAAGGTGTTTACCGTAACCTTAAGAGTTCCTTCGACAACGGAGGCAATACGAGTTTCTATTTTGATCGTGGTCTTTTCCATATTTAGTAAAAGCGTTGTTGTTTCTTTTACTAACTAAATTTTGTGTTAGTTTATATATATATAACTTCTCACCTAGGTGTGTGCAGATACGAAGAGTTGAGACGACTTGTTTTTCTCTTTTCTTGAACTCGATTAATCATTTTTACTATCTACACAACTATAATAAAACAGCTCATTATAGGGGATTAACTAAAACAAAGCGAATAGAAAAGCTAGGCTACAAAGCGAATGTAAATACAATAGGAATAAAAGCTGTTGTGCGTAAGTGCAAATATGTGGCTGAGTATATGGCTGATTAAGTGCAAATAAAATGACGTATTATAAGTTCACTATAAGAGCCCCCCCTCTAGAATGTAAGAGGAGCGAAACAGTCGATATAAGTTTGCAATATGGGGGCTTCAGAAACCAAAGCGATCCGGAAAATGAACTTTGCGCCCTGAACGTGTCGTGCATTGGTGACTAGAAGAAGCTGGTGTGTTGTCAATCACTGGGAAGAGTTGGTTTTCTGTTGACATGTAAGAGTCACAATCAGAATCCAAGTGGGCCACTTTGAGGCGATCAATGCTGATTGTTTTATGTGAACCAGCAATCTCTAGAACGAAATGCTTGTCTTGACGTTGAAGCACTTTGTAAGGCCCATCGTATGGTGGCTGAAGTGGCTTGCGAATGGCATCATGACGCACAAAGACAAACTTACAAGTTGCTAAGGCTGACGGAAGATGAAACTTGGTATCCTGTTTGCGAGGTGGTGTAGGCCGAAGACTTTGCATAGTAGATTGAAGACGTTGTGCATAAATTGTAGGGTCTAAAACAGAGGACTCTTGAGAAGAGGTAAAGAAATCACCAGGAAGACGTAGGTTACAACCGTACACTAGTTGTGCAGGAGTGCAGTCAAGATCTGGTTTCAGAAGTGTCCGGAGGCTGAGAAGAATTAGTGGCAGACTTTCACACCAACGTGATGGATCAGATGATGCCTTTATTGAGCTCTTGAGTTGACGATGGAGGCGTTCAACCATGCCATTTGCGCAAGGATGATAGGCTGTTGTGTGGATCCGTTTGATTCCAAGAATCGACGTCAGTGACGCAAAAAGAGCAGATTCGAACTGAGCCCCGCGATCAGTTGTGATGGTTGAAGGGACACCGAAAACAGAAATCCAACGTGTGACGAAAGAACGGGCGACAGTTTCAGCTGTAATGTCAGCAAGTGGAATGGCCTCAGGCCATCGTGTGAAACGATCGATGCATGTCAAAAGATATTTGAAACCTTGAGATGGTGGAAGAGGTCCAACTATGTCAATATGTATGTGGTCGAAACGAACATCTGGTGTAGAGAAAGTGCCAAGGGGTGAAACAGTGTGGCGAGTAACTTTCGACTTTTGGCACGGTACACAGGATCGAGTCCAGTTGCGAATATCCTTATTTATGCCTGGCCAAACATATCGCTGAGTGATAAGATGTTGTGTAGCTCGAATTCCAGGGTGGGACATGGAATGCAACTGGTCGAAAATGAGGCGACGATAACACAAAGGAATATATGGTCGTGGGTGGCCAGTTGAGATGTCACAGAGAATGGTGCCTGTTGAAGATTGTAGAGGAAATTCCTTGAGGCGTAGTGAAGAAGACTGTACAAGAGACAAATCAGGGTCGTTTTGTTGAGCTTTGGCAAGAAGTACAAAGTCAAGAGGTGAGGATCTTTGAAGAATGTTTATATCCGTCCTAGATAGGGTGTCAGCAACAACATTTGCACTGCCATGTATATGACGAATATCTGAAGTGAACTGGGAAATGTAATCCAAGTGTCTAGTCTCGCGAGGAGAATAACGGTCAGGTGTAGCAGATAAAGCGTGGGTAAGCGGTTTGTGGTCTGTTAACACGTAGAAACGGCGGCCTTCCAAATTGTGGCGAAAATGACGGATGGACAGATAAACAGCCAATAGTTCACGACCAAAAGTACTATACTTGATTTCTGCCGGCTGTAGACGTTTGGAGAAAAAGGCAATTGGTTTCCAGATGCCGTCAATGTGTTGTTGAAGAACACCACCAACTGCAGAATTTGACGCATCAACCATTAAGCAGTATGGAGCAGTTGAAGAGGGGTGTACCAAAAGCGTAGCATTAGCTAAGGCTGTTTTAATTGCTGTAAAAGCAGATGCAGCATCACCCTTGAGAGGAAAATGGTCGTGATTACTGTTTTTGGGAGACAGGAGGTCTGTGAGTGGCTGTAGAATCGTGGCACACTGAGGAATGAAGCGTCGGTAAAAGTTGATAAAACCAAGGAATTCTCGAAGTTTACGAAGAGAAGTTGGAGGTGGAAAATCTTTGATGGCTTTGATTTTGTCAGGCAAAGGATAAATACCACCAGCAGAGATTTTGTGTCCTAGGAAGTCGATGGACAGAGCACCGAAAACACATTTAGCAGGATTTATGACTATACCGTATTCGGAAAGGCGTGTGAAAACAAGTTCTAAATGGTGTAAATGTTCCGATTCAGTAGAGCTGGCGATGAGTAGGTCATCAATGTATGCGTAGACGAAATCAAATCCGCGAAGTACTTCATCCATGAACCGTTGAAATGTTTGTGCGGCATTGCGAAGACCAAAAGGCATTCTGACAAACTCAAACAATCCAAAAGGGGTACTGATGGCAGTCTTTGGCACATCATTGGGATCCACTGGAATTTGATGGTAGGCACGGACGAGATCAATCTTTGAAAATATAGTGGCACCATGCAGCGTTGCAGAGAAATCCTGAATATATGGGATTGGGTATCGATCTGGTACTGTTACTTTGTTGAGGGCTCTGTAATCACCGCAAGGACGCCAGTCGCCAGGTGTAGGTTTAGGGACCATGTGGAGTGGAGACGACCAACTACTTTCCGAAGGGCGAATGATGCCCAATTGTAGCATGTGGTCAAACTCGGCTTTGGCGACAGCTAAACGATCTGGTGCGAGGCGTCGTGGCCGGCAGTAAACAGGTGGACCGTTGGTTCGAATATGATGGGTAACAGTGTGTTTGACAGCAGATTCTTTATAACATGGACGGGCCAGTGCAGGGAACTTCTTGAGAAGGGCTTGGTATGGAGAAGTTGTGTCTGGAAGAGCAAACATTGGCCTTGGTGAAGAGTGTGTTGATTTGATACCATTTACAGATAAGGTAGTTGTCGTATCAATTAATTTACGTTGGCGCACATCCACTTTCAAGCCAAAGTGGGCAAGAAAATCAGCACCAATAATAGCAATTGGGACGTCAGCAATAAGAAAAATCCATTGAAAATTACGGCGAAGTCCTAAATCCAGAGCCAAGGATTTTTCACCATATGTTGAGATTGGAGATTTGTTGACAGCTTGGAGGGTGATAGAAGAAGGATGTTGCTTTTCAGAGCGTGAAGGAGGAAGAACACTTACGTCAGCGCCTGTGTCGACAAGAAAACGTGTGCCAGTAGGACGGTCTGTGACATAGAATAGGCGACTTTGGTGTAGGGTGCCAGGAAGACTTGTCGCCTCTAGCCGCTGGCGGGGCAGTTTTCCTGTTGCTGAGATGCAGAAGGCTTGAATGTGAAGGAGCATGGTGATTGCATTTGCGGGCAGCAGAACCAAAACGCCAGTGATACCAACATTGAGAACTTGCGTGACGTTCATTGCTTGAATTTCGACGATATGGAGAGCCTGATGGAGTGGGACTGCGACCACGTGGACCAGAACGAGGTTGTGAAGTATAACGGTTGGTCAGAGCTTGTACTTGTGCAGATAAGGTGCTTATTTGCTGACGGAGTTCGGCAACTTCGCTTGGTGGTGTTGTGTTGGAGGCAGCAAAAGCAGCAACGGGGGTGAAGGAATAGCCACTTCCATTATTTTATCAGCAAGTGTTGCTAGATTTTCAGTGGAAACTGATTCGGGAGTAGAGACTAAAATTAGCTGAGCGTTGATAGACAGCCGATTTAGAAATATCTTTCGCAATAGGCTGTCTTCTAAACGATTGTCACCAAGAAGTTGTCGCATTTTGCGGAGAAGTTGCGAGGGCTTTCTATCACCAAGTTTCTCTGAAGTCAAAAGCTGGTGAAAACGTTTTTGCTCAGAAGCTGAAATGCGCTTAATCAGTTCTGCTTTGAGTTGATCGTACGGCTCTGCTGTAGGAGGATTGACAAGCAGGTCGCGTACCTCTTGTGCAATTTCAGGTTGCCGTGAAGCCACCACGTAGGCATATTTGGTGACTTGAGATGCGATATTGCGTGTTAAAAATTGGGCTTCCACCTGTGCGAACCAGACAACGGGATCAGTCGGCCAAAATGCAGCGACTGGAGATAGCATGGCATTGGAGAAAGTAAGCGAACCTGTTGAGGTGCTGGCAGTTGGTGTTTCGTCATTCATTGTTAAGATTGAGCTTTATGAAAAATATGGCCTATCAAATAGCGAGGACACGAAAGGAACGGCAAGGAAATGTAGGCAATTTGGCAAGGGCAAATCAAATAAAAAGCGTGGTCACCAATTTAGTAAAAGCGTTGTTATTTCTTTTACTAACTAATTTGTGTGTTAGTTTGTATATATATAACTTCTTACCTAGGTGTGCGCGGAAGCGAAGAGTTGAGACGACTTGTTTTTCTCTGTACCAGAACTCGATTAATCATTTTTACTATCTACAAAACTATAATAAAACAGCTCATTATAGGGGATTAACTAAAACAAAGCGAATAGAAAAGCTAGGCTACAAAGCGAATGTAGATACAATAGGAATATATGCTGTTGTGCGTAAGTGCAAATATGTGGCTGAGTATATGGCTGATTAGGTGCAAATAAAATGTCGTATTTTAAGTTCACTATTAGAGCCCCCCCTCTAGAGTGTAAGAGGAGCAAAACAGTCGATATAAGTTTGAATATGGGGACTTCAGAAACCAAAGCGATCTGGAAAATGAACTTTGCACCCTGAACGTGTCGTGCATTGGTGACTAGAAAAAACTGGTGTGTTGTCAATCACTGGGAAGAATTGGTTTTCTTTTGCACTGGAGCTTTGCTTTTCATTTTGGACCTTCTCAAGAGGAACCAATCCTTGGGGTTTGTCATCGTTGGAGAAACATGCGCGCAAAAAATTTAAGAGTGAAACACGCGTAATAATATGCTGAGTCGTTGACTGCAAAGCCGAGCTTTTGGCAAAAATTTATTGTCAGCATCTGATAGACGGACACATAAGTGAGAGTTATTTGGATTTATCGTCATATGGACAGCAAAAGCTAAATTTTGGTGGATATCAAAAGCAAACATCTGAACAGAAAAGACTAACAGATGAAGAACTGGTATCAGTTGAACTAATCAAGCAACAAAAAAACGACAGAGATAATGACGGACTATGCATCAGCTGCAATTTGCCAACCTTCTCACATTGTACCTTTCACCATCTCTGCGCGCGAGTGTACCACACCAGCTGTTGTTGGTGCAGAGAAAGAAAGCGCTCCTCACAAGGGTTCATGTATTACGACAGAAACATTTAATGAAGTTGTCAGTGACACAAACTTGATCAAAGCGAGCATTGTGAAGATTGACGAATCTGTTCGAAAAAATCCAAAGCCCACAGCGCCAAGCGTAATGAGTGACGCGAAAGAAACGCTGCTTGCGAAAGTCACGCTTGCACGCTCAATCAAGGATATAGAGGTAGCGGGATCCAGCTTTGACAGGGAGCTAAAAGAATTATCCTGCTCGGTCTGCTCTGATAGTGTTGACATCTCTGAAAAAACCTCTACGGGGGGAGTTTTCAGATATGATAAGGCACTTGCGCTTGGTTTTGGACCTAAAGAAAATCTTCCAGAAGCATTTAGGAACCTCAAAAAACGTGTCAAGAGGCGTATTCAGCAGTCATGGGGACACATAGAGGCCTCCAAACTCAAGCTCAAAGGGTAAAACAAGGAAAAAAAAGAGAAAGACCAAGAACTATGAAGCAGTAATGAATCTAGGACGCCTTTGCTACAAGCTTTATGTCAAAGGGCCTCCTTTCTTAGACTATGAAGATGACGTTTTGATTTTGAAGCAAGCTAATGCAAATGTTGTAGAACTTAATCATTCTAGGAAATTTCCGCCAGCTTTTTTGTTTCATGTCACCAAGGAAGTGAAATCTAGAATGAAGGAATTTCTTTCTGGCAAAATGGAGCAAACGGGCCATAGACCTCCACTTGCACTCTCTGCAGATAAAGCCACGTACAAGCACAGATCTAGGCAGTTTCTTAGTAGAGTGACCATTTCCCAAGCCTAAGCACGAATCTAATTGGTTTCTTTGAATTGGCGGGCTTTTTATGAAAATGCAAATTATTGAATAGTCTGATTGGTTGAATATTAGAATTTATCATTCGAAAATCGAAATATATAGCGTTTGTGTCCCTACAAGAGAAGTTAATAATGGAGGAGTCTGATTCGTTTCGAATAACAGAACTTAAACACGTATACACCGGCATAAAAGACTGAAGCACAAGCAATCCACCTTTTTTCGCGGTTATCGTGGTTAGAGAAAGACATACGTACTTTTCAAAGTGAATTTAACAGGTGATTTACCTTTACTTTCAACACTATTTCATTAGATGCTTATACTTGTTTTTAATTTCTTATACTTGCTTTTTATTGTTAATAGTCAATTTTTTTAATTACTTGCAATAGCTTATATTGTTTTTAAGATAGTTTTTTAAATTGTTGCCCACCTGAAGTGAAATAGGCTGGTCTCCACGACTCAGCACTTTGAAGTAAGGTATAGGGGTGCTGAGAGACGTCGCTTCAGGTACCTTAGGTTATTGTGTTTGTGTGCTTACAATCCTCCGTTCAGTGCTTAGTACCGACCTTAGTCCATTGACTTTGTACACATGAGTATTGAATAGTCATCTTGTTGAGGTCTAAAGATGTGCACGGGGAGCGTTTGTTACACTTACCAATGATTAGGAACAATCAGATTTTTTTTATTTTTTCCTTTCATTTTATTCCCTGATTTATTTCCTGATTTATTCCAAATATATAACAATTTAATAAATACCACTACCTTAAATGTTTAGATTACAATGGAGTACCAAAGCCACGATATGGTAGCAAATAACGCTAGAGAGATAAGATTGAGGAGGAGTTGTATACCCTAAGGTCAATGAGATCAGTAAATTTGAGGATGCGGTGAGTACATTTTTACTTCAACATTTTTTTAATTTACGACTATTAATTTTTACAACCATCATTTTTCGAGTGATGCAACAACATTAGTGGTTGGATTGGGTCATTTTTAGATACAGGTTGTGATGTTACGGTGTTTTATTTCAGGGAACTAACAAACATGTTCCCGGAAGCGGCAACAACATCCGATGATACAGACATTGAGGAGGAGCACAGCAGGGAGGAGATGAATGCGAGCGGAGGAGGAGGAGGAGACGAATGCGAGCGGAAACCTACTCGGAACAGCCCTGAGGATGGAGGTGGAGGAGCGGTCACAACAAGCGCAATCACCGGAATCAACGCCACCCCCCACATCACCAGAAGCAACGCCGCCCCATTAAACGAAAGTCATTAATCATATTTGCTAAGTAATAACTCAATATAACACTTGTCTTCAAATTTATGTGATATATCTTCCAATGTTTCCCAATCAAATTTGTTTGTTAATTGTCTTTTTCTCAGATGTTATTACTGTGTGTGTTGGTGGGTTCACCTTCCTAACTACCCTGTCATTCTCGAGAATTGCCAAGTCTAATAATGGAACACTGTTTTTACTGAATATAAGATCAGAACACACAGCAATGACACTTTTATTTATACTTATTTCTTTCTTTGGAAATAAAATGCATCCAATCATACTACATTTTGCAACATTTGTTATAGAGTTTGGTAAATTCAAACTTCTTCTATTTAACGTTAAACAAATTTCATTACTCATATTACTGGTCTTATCTTCACAGTAATCGAGGTCTCTCCAATATATTGCTTTGGTGAATAGAATGATGGTAGTTTTATAGGGCTGTCTTCATCATCCGTCAACATGATTGAGATCAGTTGAATTTGAAGGTTTTCTATTGGTGTAAATATGATGCTCTTCGGTTCAAAATATTTCACATATGTGTCAACTTGTGTATCATAAAATGTAAACTTTCGCAGAACTCTCTTCTTATCAAGACCTGCTAGGTAGTTATTTTCCAAAATGTCACATTCCACATTGAAAGCTGATTCTGGATTAATGTTTATGCCATCCTTTATTCTTCGAGCACAATTAATTTTAGTATATTGCACCGATTGATTGTTTGTTTCCTCTTTATATAGATACAATGTCATGATTTGACTGGGAAAAATATTATCGTGTAATTGGTATTTAGGAACTTTAATCACACCAAGATTAAGCTTCTTTTCAGGGGGTGGTGAATGTTTGCATTCGCTGTTGAGATTCGGAAGACACACCAGGAATTGAGTGACAATTCTCTAATTAAAGACACTCTAATAAATACCTTGAAGACTGACAGAGTGCAGACATCGATAGAAAAAAATAGTGGCTTCGAGAGACTGTGTAAATTTATTGTGGATGGGAGAACCCCTCATGACCGAGAAGAAATCAGACACTTGTGCAAACTCTTTCTGCTAATCTCCATCAGTAGTTCAATTGTTGTCACAATATTTAGCTATGTTGGTTTTATTTTACTTAAAAGATTTATGAAGTAAACAAAATCTGTCTCAGAAATGTTACTGTCTTTTTATGTGAAACCTCTATATCTACTGCGCATGCGCAAAACACCTAAAATCTCAAAAACTTTTTTAATCTCAAAAAACAACTCCTCATCCTACACGACATCCCCCCACACAGTGAACTCCTACGCATTCACCTCCTCCTGCAAATCACCCTGCTTCGCAGTGCCAGCTGAGTTGATATCCTCGTATACTTACCTACTTATATAACCATGTTAAAAATTGATACACAGAATCCTAACGATTCCTTGTGCTTATAGAGAGACGGCAACCCCTTCTATCCAAGAGCCGATGGCAAATGATGCCACCTAGGAGTTGAACCCAGCCATCATATATAACCATGTTAAAAATTTATAAACAGAATCCTACCGATTCCTTGTGCTTATAGAGAGACGGAAACCCCTTCTATCCAAGTGGCCATGGCAAATGATGCCACCTAGGAAGTTGTACCTAGCAACAACAAATAACCATGTTGAAAATTTATACCTAGAATCCTACCGATTCTTTGTGCTTATAGAGAGACGGAAACCCATGGCAAATGATGCCACCTAGGAAGTTGTACCCAGCCACCATATATAACCATGTTTAAAGTTATACACATAATCCTACCTATTTATTGTTCTTAGAGAGAGACGGCAATCACATCATCGGGGATTGCTTGCCATATTGACAGGACTGGTTCTAGCAGCCCTGCTGAACCGAACTTCCATCCATGAGATAAAGGAGATGGAGGAGGCTTTTCTCTGTGAAAATGTCTCCAAATGTAAGATTGATAATTTGCTCTTCGTCAATGTTGTGCCAGTGAATCCTCAGCAGGTGAAAGCCTCTCTGTATTCTTCCTCTTCATTAAACGCCATTTTGAGGATCTTGCTGCTGCAAGGGATTGGCTAGAAAGATCGCGATAGACACATTTTATGGTGAATGGTGAAAGCTCTGGACATAGCTCAACCTGTAGTCCAAAATCACAAATTAAACTGGCAAACTCTGGAGTTCTTTTCACTTTCTCAAACACTGAGACTTTTCCGTGACCAAAGAAGCCAATGATTGCATCTGCACCTGTGAAGGCATCTATTTGCACAAGGACTGAAGCTGGCCCTGAGGAGCATATTTTTTGACAATCAAACAGATGGCCTTTCTGACATAAGAGCATTTGGCCAAATTGCAACAACATCTGTATCACCACTGTCGAGTATGATCGGGTTTTGGCATTGGGAGAGCATTTTAGAGGCATGAAAGACGAGCCTTGTATCAGCTCCGTGATGATGGCATTCCAGTTCTGGACTCACAGCTGAGGTCTTCAAATTAACGCATTTTTTCCCCGGTTGTGTAATAAAACTCTTGGTTTTTATCCAACGCTAATGACTTGAACTCTTTCCACAGAAATTCTTGAAGACGCAGTTTATTTCCTTTGTTGACAAAGAAGCTATTGAAGGCTTGGGCTTTCGGTGCAGGTTGGTCGCATTTATTTGATGCTTAATATCTTTGATCGAATTTGAGACATCATAGCGGTCATTGATGAAATGAAATGTTGATGCGTGACGTGACAGCGACCGTGAGGTCGTGACCAGTTCCGCCATTGCTTTATTTTCCATCACACTGGCTTTCATTTGGTTTGCAGAGGCTGTGCCTTTTGGTTTCTCTTGTGTGATGAAATTGCAAAGACCATTTTTCTTCATTTTATCTGATACTGGCCTTTCTGTTGAGAAAATTCTTTCTTTCAAAAAATATTTGACTTGTTTTTCACCTTCTTTGTATGTACTTGAGAAATCTTCAACAAGACTTGGGGATGCAAGCAATCCAGATTCAAGTGATTGAAGGTCCTTGTGTTGCTCGTCAAAAGGATCACAATTTCACTCTTGTAAGCATCAGCTGAGATCTTGTACAAGCTTCTCGTCAAACCTTAATTTAACTGGAGAGTTTTCGGAATGGCTACAATCCTTTCCTTTAATGCTCGCAGCAGCGTTGAGAGCCTGGCGTGTTGACTCTATCTTGCTAATCGTTTTTGTTTGTGTATAACATGCTCTCGTTTTTGGTAAACCAAACCCACCCGGATTGTTATCTCTATTCATTGATCAAAAGGCAATGCACTGAATGGACGTCCACTGATTGATGGACAGAATATGCATATCAAATTATCTACAAGTAAATAATTAAAATAACAACAAATGATTGATTACCTGAAAAAAAGACCTTTGTCTTGTAACATATGCCAACAATATATCACTCAAAGCTGTAATAATGGGATCTTCACAATCATCAGCAAAATCTTTGGTGGATGGACTACGCAACCATGTACGAAAGCATCTCCGTTCTTCTTGGGGCTGTTTTTCTTCTGTGAGTCTATCTGAATGTGGTGGCCATTCTTGTATGGGCTGATTTTTGAAAGTGTCTCGTAGGTGATGTGCGACACTATTCATTGAATGTTCTTTGTCGATTCCCCATGAGTTTATCGTTACCTCTATGTACGTCGCCCCGCTCTGGCTATCATACACAATAGTGCTTTCATTTTTCTGAAATCTGTTATGGAAGCCTAGCTCATCACCAAAGTTGTTTTCTAAAATCTTCTTTATTTATGAAGTCCTTTCACATTCCGGATAATTAAAGTTATCAAGAAGTTTGTTGTAATCGTTCATTAAGCCTTTTAATGTTCTTGGCTCCCTATCTTTTATTACACATTACCTTAAATGCTCGACAAATAATTGGTTGACTTCCTCATTCCTAACATGCTGAACATGTAGTGTTCCTTCTTCTTGCCTACCATACTTAATGTGCTGATTCCAGCAACTCTTATGATACCTCACTTTGCGTGCAAAGGGGTCTTCACACTCCCTAATGAAGTGGAGAAGCCTTTCTCGCACTATCTCATCTTTCAGAAAGATGGTTGCAGATTTTAACTTCATCCATGTACTTTTTTGCCCCAAGAGATGCAAATTTGAGGTTTTCCTATCACGATGCTTCGAATCTTCTCCTCTCATGCAAAATTTGCACAAGTTCTTATCATGCAAATTTCCTGTCTGAGACCGTCGATGAACAGAAGATATTTTTGCTGGAAATTGTGAATGCGGCGTGAAATCATTTGACTGTGTACTCTCGGGAAAATTGTCTTGTTGCTTTATTCGTGGCAAGGCACTTTCAAGTCTTTTGGAATCTCCAAGCTTTAACCTGCATGTCTTGTGAATACAATTACCTTCAGGCCCGCTTTCCCAATTTGTCTCTGTGTAAATTCTTCTGTATGGATCTAATCCCATCCATTTCTCAGCAATAGCTTTGAGATCCTTCCAAGCCCGGGTTTCTTTTCTCTCTTCCTTTGAATCGATACTGTGACATGAGATAATTCAAAAGATACTGTTTGAATGCTAAGATCAAAGCCAAAGTTTACAACCATGGTAGATTTTGAAAACTGTCCATGGTAGATATCGATATTATGAAAACTGCCCTTTCAGTTTCCTGTATGTGACGTCATCGACCTTCAGTGACGTCATAGCATAAATTGCTGATATCATAATAATATAATTTGATGTAACTTGTCTCGAGTTTTAACCGTAAAAATGACTTTACAGGTGCATATTTTATGACGTCATTTTCGGCCAACGCCTATCGAAAATCAAAATGTACCCAGGCTCATTTTGAAGAGCGTACTTTGAAATACCAAAATCAACTTGTTAAACAAGTTCTTTTAAAAGTTGTCACGGGACCCTAGATTTCGACCCAACTAAAGACTTTATGAAAATGATATTAAAAAAATGTAAATAAAGAATCGAAGTCTCCATAAAACTTAATAAATCCCAAAAATCTTGATAAATCTAGATATATTTGTGAAATTCCCTATATATTCCATTACTATCTATGAATCCCATAAATCTCTATAAATCTCACAAATCCCTGAAAAATTGCAAGAGATTTATAAATCCATAAATCTCGTACGCTCGTAAGAATTTTTTGCCCCTCGAGCAGTCTGGTGCTCTCCTGTCCACTTTTATAGGATACCTTTCTGTGTAAGTTCAGTCAAAAGAGCTGCCATGGTTGCAAACTGAGGGATGAAACGCCTATAATACCCTGCTAGTCCTAAGAATGATCTAAGCTTGTCCAGGTCAGTTGGTGGGGGTAAATCCTGCACAGCCTTAATTTTAGATGGATCAGTATAAAACTCTTTACTTGAGACACAGTGACCTAAATAAATGACCTTCTGGGCACCAAATAAGCATTTGAAGTCTTGACATGCAGCCCATTTTCACGAAATCGTTGCAAAACAGATGTTAAATGTTCACAGTGTTTTTCAATTTTGTCAGAAATAATGATTACGTGATCAAAATTACAAAGGCATATATCATTGGCTCCGACGCCAGTTGGAAAGTGGAGGGGCCAAGAGAAAATATAACAATCATAACAAAGATTTTTAAAAAAAGCTTTATTGTTTTGCAAAAAAGTGAGGGGGCCGTTGCCCCACCGCTCCCCCCCCCCTTCGTCGGAGGCCCTGATATATCATAGGTTAAACCTGATAATATAATGCTAACGGCCCTAGCGAATGTTGCTGGAGCTGTTGAACATCCATATGACATACAAAGCAATTCAAATAGGCCACCAGGGGTAATAAAAGCTGTTTTTTCTATCTTCTGAGGTCATACTTACATGTCAGTAACCACTGCGGAGATAAAGAGTACCAAAGAGCTTCTTGTTATTTAGAGGGTCATGAAGGTCATCTCCTCTAGGCAAGGGGTGAGCATCTTGCTTGGTGACAAGGTTTAGCTTTCGGTAGTTAAGGCAATATCTATAGGACCCATCCTTTCTTTTTTAACGAGGACAACAGGAGACGCCCAAGGGCTAGTGGTTGTAATGTTTTGAATAAATTAACATATTATGACGTAACGGTACTTAGAGTTAGTTGTAGAGCACGAGGCCATGGAGTAAAACGTATTATATGTGAGCACATGATTAGGCCCTTTTTAACAACATAACATTTGGCGACGAGGATTAAAACAAAAAGCAGATAACGTGGAGGGAAAGCACATACCATTTCTGTTAAGTTTCAGAATTTAAGATGGCCACGGCAGCACGATTGGATTTATTACCGCTTCCACCGTTCGACCCTGTGTCCGACCCGACGTCCATAAGCCAACGATGGCAGCAATGGAAACGCCGTTTCGAAACATATTTACTTGCCGTAAAAATAACTGATGATGCTCAGAAACGTGCCTTACTATTGTACCAAGCAGGTGCCGCCACTCAAGAAATTTTCGATTCCCTCCCAGTTGAGCAAGATGAAGCTGCAGATTGCAAGACAGCGTTGGCGAAACTTGACACTTACTTTGCCCCGCTGTTGCCAACACCGCAGAAAAATGTCGACTTTGAAATTTTTCAATTTCGCCAAGCCAAACAGAAGATTGGAGAAACTACTGATCAATTTGCTACACGACTTCGCAAACTTGCTACAAATTGTGAATTGACAGATTTAGATAAGGGACTTGAATCTGCGATTATACAAAACTGCTCGTCTAAGCAACTCAGAAGGCTTGTTTTGCGGGAAGAGAAGCATACACTTGCCGTGTTGTTATCAAAAGCACGTATTCTGGAAGCCAGCGATACACAAGCTAAAGATATAGAAGAAAGTCTCATGCAAGTGGAAACTGCTCAGCTGGTTCGTACGCCTCAGCTGCAAACCTGTTTCAACTGTGGTTTTTCATGGCCTCACCGTACTTCCCCTTGCCCCGCCAAGACACAAAGTTGTCGCAAATGTGGGCGTGTTGGACATTTTGCTAAAGTCTGTAAAAGCCGCGCGAAACAACCGCGTGCCGTTAACGACCCGCCTATGCAAGACCATAAGAAAGGAGGTCATAAATTCACAAATCAAAAAGGAAAAATACATCATGTACATGGAAAAGCACCTCAACATACACAAGAGCCTAATCCAGAGTCTAGCAGCGACGAAGGTTATTTGTTTACGTGCGATGATCAACGCGAAATAAAGATGCCACGAGTCCGTGTAAAAATTAATAAAATCCTTGTGAAAATGATTTTGGACACAGGAGCATCGATCGATATTTTGGATGAATCAACATTTCATCAGGTCAAGGCAGCTAAAAATATCCATCTTTGTCGTTCAACGACAAAGTGTCGGAAACTCTGCGTGATTTGGAATACCAAGGCATTATTGAAAAAGTGGCAGAAACAAGCACCCCCTGGGTATCCCCCTCGGTCGTCATTCCAAAAAACGACGGAACTGTTCGTTTATGCGTGGACATGAGAATGCCTAACCGCGCGATTCAACGGGAACGCCACCCTAGCCCTACCATCGACGACCTTATACACGCGTTAAATGGTGCTACAGTTTTTTCCAAGTTAGATCTTCGCTCTGGTTACCACCAACTGGTGTTTTCAGAAGAAAGCCGTCACATCACTACTTTCGCTACTCTTAAAGGGTTACGAAGATATACACGTCTTAACTTTGGAACGTCGTCAGCAAGTGAAATTTTTCAGAACGCCGTTTACGAACAAATTCGGAACATTGAGGGTGCCGTAAATATCAGCGACGATGTTATCATTTATGGTAACAACCAAGCCGATCACGACCGCGCGTTACATGCGGTATGCAAACGATTCCAAGATATGGGGTTGACGTTAAACAAGGCAAAGTGCGAGTTAAACAAAAAGGAGATCACGTTTTTTGGCTATGTGTTTTCTGACAAAGGAATCTCTGCCGACCCCCAGAAAGTTCATGCAATTCACAACGCCCCGCCGCCACAGTCATTCAAGGATATTTGCAGTTTCTTAGGGATGGCAAACTACTGTGCAAAATTTATTTCACAATTCAGTGATATCAGCGAGCCCTTGCGGAATTTAACAAAGAAAATCAGTGTTTTCCGGTGGACCCCTAAGCAACAAAAGTCGCTCGATAGCATCAAGTTGGCACTGACTAGTGACAAGGTGATGGCATATTTTGACCAGACAAAACAAACTGAGTTGTTTACGGATGCTTCGCCTACAGGCTTTTCGGCTATTTTGTCGCAAATTACACCTGGCCAAGAAGACAGGAAAGTCGTAGCCTACGTAAGCCGATCGCTCTCAGATGTAGAAAGAAGGTACTCGCAAACTGAAAAAGAGGCATTAGCTATAGTATGGGCTATTGAACGCCTTCACATTTACTTATATGGTGCAAAATTCAAGCTATTCACAGATTGCAAGCCAGTCGAACTTATCTTGTCTAACCCGTAATCACGACCACCTGCTAGAATTGAACGCTGGAATTTACGTATTCAGGATTACGATTTTGAAATTGTTTATAAACAAGGAGCTCAAAACCCCTTTGGATTTCTTATCAAGACACATCTTTACGGATACAACTGGTAAATCGCAATCATCAACAGCCGACAAATACGTCAATTTTCTAGCTCGTCATGCTGTTCCGAAGTCTATGGACTACAAAGAAATTCAAGATGCCACATTCGCAGACCTAACCTTGCAAGCTCTAATACGCCTTATTCATGATAATTCGTGGAACAACATTCGAAGTATGCAATCACCTGACGTTGATAAAGGGGAATTAAACTTATTCGCTAAAATAAGAAGCGAATTAACTGTCAATGATGATGCAAGCCTAATTCTGCGAGGATCACGAATTGCTCTTCCTAAATCTCTCCGCCATAGAGCCATAGAAATTGCTCACGAAGGACATCAAGAGATCGTCAAAACCAAACAACCTCTACGAGAGAAAATTTGGTTTCCTAACATCGATAAATCTGTCAAAGATGTGCTTGCAAATTGTCTACCATGCCAAGCCATTGGTCCGGAAAATAGGCCTGCCCCATTTCATATGAACGAATTGCCTCCGAAGCCCTGGCATACCGTACACATTGATTTCTGTGGACCGTTTCCTACCGGAGAATATATTCTCGTGGTCATCGATGCTTACTCTAGATTCCCAGAAGTGGACATTGTGCATTCCACATCAGCCTCTGCGACAATTGCTAAACTCGATCGAATTTTCGCAACACATGGATTGCCCCACGTTGTTAAAAGTGACAATGGCCCACCATTTAACAGTGCTGACATCAAGGATTACATGAAAGAAAATGGCATACATTTTCAACCCATAACACCGTTGTGGCCCCAAGCCAATTCCGAAGCTGAGAACTTTAACAAACCAATGACTAAAGCCATCAAAGCAGCACAAGTGGAGGGGAGAAATTGGAAAAAAGAGCTTTATAGATTCGTTCTAAATTACCGTGCCACTCCACACACAACAAAAAAATATCCTCCAGCACAGCTACTTTTTAATCGCAAAATTCGAATAAAGTTGCCAGACACAGTGGAAAAGAGTCTATCGCCCTTGGACGAAGATATTCGCAAAAACGACACACAGGCAAAGGCAACGATGAAGCAAAATGCGGACCGGAAAAGAGGAGCTAAGGAACGTAAAATGAGTATTGGCAATCTGGTACTAATTCGACAAAGAAAGAGAAACAAGTTAACATCGAAATTCGATCCGAAGCCTTTTTGTATAGTACGAATAAAAGGAACGATGATCACAGCTTGTAGAAATGGACAATACGTAACAAGGAACAATTCATTTTTCAAGCCAATTCAGGAAAGAAAAGATTTGGAATTTTATAATGGTGCGGATGATGAAAAATCATTAGAAATACCTGCGACCGGAGAAGGGCAGCAAGAGTTAGTTGTAGAGCACGAGGCCATGGAGTAAAACGTATTATATGTGAGCACATGATTAGGCCCTTTTTAACAACATAACAGTGGTTGGTTGCATAACCCCTTTCTCTAACATTTCAATAACCTGTTTACGAATCTCTCCTCTGTGAGCATAAGGCAATCGCCGTGGATGCTGCTTTATTGGCAATGGCAAACCTTTTTTGGCCTGCATGGATTGCAACAGAAGATCAGGTCGGATTGAGAATTCTCACTGGTATCATCCGTTCAGAGGCTTGACTAATTCTGTATGCAGTAATATCAGACGATTCAGAGTCTTCACTGAGGCTACATACCATACCTATTGGTTCTCTACAACTCTTAGAAATTTGATCTTGTATAACACTTTCTGTTCTACCTGGGATGGATATAACATTGCTTAGGGTCACAAAGACTGGTCCATAGTCTGATGATTGGACAAAAACAGGTAGATCTTTCTTAAAAGATGAATTGACTGGGGCAGAGAGACCTGGGGGTGATGGTTGGACAGGAAGAGATAAAGTGGTCAGAGGTGTGCTGCCATGGGGCCCAACAAGGCAATAGGAATCCGCTACAACAGTCAAATGCAAAGAATAAAAGGTCAAAAGATCCCAAGCAAATACACAATGCATAGGGGCAAGCACATTATCACATACCAAGAACTCTCCCACATACAAAAATTGGCTTCCCGGAAAAGACAAAGAAAGATCTGCGGAATCTGAAGAATTTAGCGGCTGTCTGGTAATAGAAACACAACTGTTGGATATGCTTCGAAGTGGAGGAGGGGCTTTCTTTTGGTGTGCACAGCGTGTAGAAATACGCTGAAAGACACTTGAACTAAGCAGGGATTTCATGGAACCAGTATCAATTAAAACTGGAACCTGCACACCTTCCAGCTCGCAAAATAGCAGGGATTGGCGGGGGGCTAGGGGTCTCAAACTAAAGTCCGACGCACAACCAACAGCAAAATGAGACAGGTGCTCGTCGTCCCAGCCCCTTAACGAGGCACCCACTGGAAGTTTAGAGACGCCTTACTACCATTTTTATAATGTGTGGAAATGAGGAGGGCCTAGGCCCGTTACCTTTGCACATATACTTTCATTGTGTTCCCATCCGGGACAAAGTGAGCATTGTCACTGCCCGTGCTGGAAAGGGCCACCTTTGGCGTGGACAGTGCCGTCTCATGTGGCCCACTTCATAGCACTGGAAACAACGAATTTCTGTCTGACTGCTGCTCCTTGACTCACCAATAGCTGCTATCAGTTGGTTCTGGCTTTCCACAACTTGAGTCAACAACATGTGCAGGTCATCTCGTGAATTTTATTGTAGCTCATCGCAAGGAAACTGCGGAGGCACGATGGTAGTGGTAGTAGCACATGCAGCTTTGCCAGAGGGGAAAATTTGAAGCGATCGAAACCGTTTCGAAAACGCCAACATTTCGTCCAGTCCTGGGGTAGAATGGGACTCCAAGAGCTTCAGCTGGACAACATTTGGGAGTCTTTTGAAGAATTGTTGTCGCAAAAGGAAATGAAAGGCATCTTCGGATAAATAGGGTTCAGCGTGGTGGAGGGCATCTTCAAGCCTCCACAAGTACAGGATGGGGTCCTCTGCTGGTCGTAAATGGTTTTCCTCAAACAGGTCTGCCCATTGATCCCAGTCACCACTATGGTCTGACACAAAATTACCAAGTATTTTCTGCAGGGTGCGATTTTGCTTTTCAACCAACCCATCACCCTGCGGATGATAGGCTGTTGTTTGTGACTTCTTAACCCTCATGGTATTATAAATTTCACGCATTAACGTAGATGTCCTTCTCGAAGCAACACAGAAATGCGAGAAAGAGAAAGGAAGGATACATTCGAACAAAATCTTCGTTATTGCGCTCCATCAAGGACTGCAACAGATCGATAAAACGGGCAAAGTGAACCAAACGCAAGAAATACGGGCAAAGTGAAGCTGGCTGATTACAGTAAAGTCCTTACAATGCTTCAAGGAAATGATTTTGTCAAATATGTATCATTTAGAGCAAGGAATGATAACGGTGAGAGTGCAGAGATTTAACAAAACTAGTAGAATTAGCGCTGAAAGTTAACAAATAGAGTTTCTCCAAACAACATTATAAGAATATCTAAATAAGTATTTAAATTGTATTCCTTGCACTTAACTTGTAAATATTACGCATTAACTTTAATGGCAAAACAATAGTCAATAGTTGTTGTCAAAGCCAGTGTGACGTATCCTTTCATTGCACAGAAATCATCTTGTAACAATCCTGTATCCGCAAGCTAAATACTTTTAGTAACTGAAGCTACAAAATCTATGCTAATAGCTTGCCGATTTTAACAGCTTTTATACTTTCCAGGTGATGTACTTTCGGCGCCGAGAATTCTCGCTGCACCAGATACAGATCTTTGTTGGATAAAAAATTATTGCAGTGCCAATAACCCGGCATCCGTTCTTGGTATCGATATGAATATGACTTAGAAAATTGGGCCTTTCTATGTCACGACATTGGTGTTGCATATGCCAACTTTTTTGTTGAAGAACAAACCAGAATCTGGTTAACAGACCATCATCCTGGTATTGTTACGGGGCTGTCTGTAAGTGTTCTTAAACAGAAGGAGGACTACTTATACTTGAGCCAACAGTTGAGGACACACGGAAAACTGGAGAATCTAGTTTCTGGTACGGATGGGGAGCCAGCTATTGAGCGTGCATTTGAAAAATCTTTCCAATTGAAGGTAAGAATAGGGAGAGTGGTTGACTAAATTAGACATCAGAAACAGGTGTTTGTAATCGAACCCATTTTGTGACTACAGAATAAATTTACCATTTCGGATGACGATAATCAGAGATACAGCAACGACAGAGACTTTGAATCAATTAGAATATTCAGTTGGAGGTTTAGTTATTTGGACATTTAATAGACGTTTATTTAGATTTAGAACGTTTTAAGAGCCTGGGCTCGATTAGCGTGTCTTTGGGGACTGGGTTCGAGTATCGAACTACACTTGCCGCATGCGAAAAGCGAATATGGCGGACGTGAGATCTCGTGAGTGAGAAAAATTGCAGTCAGATTCTGAAAACAGTGGCGACCCTGCCAGGACAGTAATAACCAGGAGAGAAAATTTATTCGTAAGAAAACAGAGAATATAATGGCTACCAGA